GGGAAGGCTGTTGTTGAATCAGCAGAGAACGCCTCTTTCAGCAGAAGATAACCGTTGGCAATAGCAACTCACTCACATGGCAAAAGCTATTCCAGGCTTGTGGAGATAAAACGTCCGTGTCCCTGAGGAAACAGTCAGTGAAGGAGCTGCGTTACTTTTCTCCAATTCGAGGCAAGTTGTCTAAATATCAGGAAATGAGACTCCAAATCCTCCCGTTTGAAGCACAGCTCTGAAGGTGCAAACTGGTCGTGCTTGGCCACGGGCATGTGGGTCTTTTGTGCCCTTGTTTCTGCCTGCAAGGCATTCCTTTCAACTAGAGACCAACTGTATTGATTAAAGGAGTATTTCACACCTCTAAATTATTAGAGATTTTGAATCCTCTAGACTCGAAGTAAAAGCTGTTGTGTGCTCACGGCCATTTTTGTCGTTAGAAAAGATGCAATTGGAGGAGACTAATGTTTTTGCAAAAACCGTCATCACATCACAACAAATCATGGATTGTTATGGTCAAAGTGAATTTACATGATAAGTTGATGAATTCATGCTGCCCTCCATGTCCACATCTGGTTTAGAAGATGGAAGCTGAGACGCTAACACGTACAGAAAGTGTTCTGAGCAATATGCTGCAATGTTGAGATAACAGAACATAAAGAGAGCAGTGAGGAAAATGTTGCTTGCTTGTGTTTCCAAATGGTGATCACATTTGCATCCCGTTGAGATATTGGTTTTGGTAAACATTTACTAAATATTTACGCTCTGTTGCAGACAGCCTTACACTGACGGTTGCTCTTGAAATTACACCATTTTCTGAGCATGTCAGAAGAAAATCCAGTCCTGTAGTTTAGTTCAGTGACTTAACCTAACAAATGTGTGATGAAATCCTCTGTCGGGGCTTGTGAGGGAAAGCCACCGAGCCATGCAGTAAAAACACTCGCTTTGCAATCTTTAAATGTCTGTAAATATTGTAATAAGCAACAGGGCTATCCTCATAAAAGATGCAGAAGCTCAACGGGTGCTGACAGGCGCTATGGGTCTTGACTTCAGTGCGAGGAGCACTGCCTCACCCTCTCTCCGGCTTGTTGTTGTTGCTTACCCAAGGAGATTGGCAATCATGGATGCCGACGAGGAAGCACAGTGCTGAAAGTTAACGTTTCCACTCTAGACTCACCTGACTTTTATTCTCTTTACACATCTTTCTTTCTCCCTTAAGCCCTGCCTGAGAGAGCCTTCAGCTGGATTGATTTCCTGCTCCAATGCAACATTTATTGTAGCTTGCAGTATATATATTTCTTTTGGTGTGTTGTAAGTGCTGTTGGTCAGTAACCTTTGTGCAATATGCTTGTTCCTAATGGGCGCCTGAGGCGGGGACAGATGAGGGCTGTATGGGGAAAAATCTTAATAATAATAAAAATAATAATAATTAATTTCAAAGCGCCTTTCATGACACGCAAGGACACTTTACAACAATGGGGGTAAAGAAATGAATAAAACAAGATGAACACAGTACAGAAATATGTAAAAACACTAAGAAGCTAAAATTTAAAACAATGTATTTAAAACTGTGTGGGAAAAGCCTGTTTCAAGAAGTGGGTTTTGAGTTTTTATTTAAAAGGTGGGAGAGTGAGTGGTGTGAATATCAGGGGAAGAGAAATCCAGAGGTGGGGAGCAGAGCGGCTGAATGCTCTACTCCCCACGGTGACAAGGCGAGCAGGGAGAGCTGAGAGAGCTGAGAGTTGGGGAGAAGAAGAGGAACGAAGAGCACAGACAGGAGTGGTGATGTGAATGAGATCAGATCTGTAAAAATCTTCAGTTTTCATTAGATGTGCATCCTTGATAATCTAGAAAAATAAACCGGTGAGTTCTCTGTGACCCAAATTTTTCTCCTTTTTGCTCCTTAAAGTTCATACGTGTGTAATTTTAATGACACACTCTCCATTTCAGATACTGAGGAATATGGGATGCAACTTAAATATTAATTAATCAAAAACTGCTCTGAAACGTCAGTCTGCTTTTAATAACTGGTGTGTGAGCTGGGTTATTTTCAAAGTGGTGTGAGTCACGTTTCTTATCCAAAGGTAAGAGTTGGCAGAAGCGTAGGCTCACTGCCATCTTGCTCCTGCACAAATGTTAGAGCTATTTTCAAAACGTCTAAATAGAGCGGTGTATGGGTGGGTGGGTGGGTGGGGGGTGGTGGGGGGGTAAAAAGAGAAATGTGTTGTTTTACCGTTGATCTATGGAAATATCCATCAAAATGGGTTTAAAGTACTTAGGGTCTCTGGGGCACGCCATATTAGACGCCATGTTTCCTTCTGGCTGGCATGGGCTCTTGCGCCTGCCGATGATGTCACACCAGATTATTGGCTGGACGAACGACCTACAGAAGTTACATACCATATTCAAAATCATTTAGGCAGTAAGAAACACACATTTTAATAACAAAACTACTAAACTCTTTCCAAAACTGATGTGAAAGACCAGAATCGAAAAAGAGATGCGATATATTTTGGCCGAGCGGCGTTGCTGTAGTGTGAAGTCATCGGCAGGCAGAAGACCCGGAGCAGATCTGGAAACTACAGCGCCAAAAAACTACTATCAGCATTGCATAATTTCAATGGAGTTAAATGAAGGTCCATCATAATCTGAGGAGTCACACAGTGGTTGCACGTTTTCTGCTCCACTGGTAATGACATCTACTGTAATGTTATATTAAACTAGCGACAGTCACGGCGATATGGTGCAAAACTACCTTGAAATGTATGTACTGCCCCCTAGCGCCAGGAAATTACACACTGCCACTTTAAAAGCAGGGGGGGGGGGTGTACAGGGAGCAAGGCAGGAGGGGTTGGTGGTGCTTGCTTGGATAGCACAAGCTCTTTAATGTGGTGTTTGAGCCTCGCTGGGAACAGAGAGAGGCAGGACATTTTAATGCTATGTTTTGTGATAATCCCTCTCCATTCTGTAATGGTTCAGGAGAAGTCATGCGATAAAGCCTTGCACAAGCCTGGGAAATAATAAGTTATTTGTCTTGCCTTACAGTGCTTTGCCCTTGGAGGGCTTGCTAACCCCCATGTTTTGGCCAAAAAAACAATCACAGATTAGTCAAGCTGTCACATCTCTCTGATTGCCAAATAGCTGAGCCCTTGATGTTGGCGTGAATGAGCAATGCATGCATGTTGAACATGTATCTGCCCGAGAGTGCATGTAAACACAGCGTTTTGTGGGCATGCCGCGGCACTCGTCGCCCAATCCTTCTCTTTTATCCAGCCCAGTTTGACACAGAGAAGAATGGGATGGGATGGACGGCACATGTGTGTGGCAGGGCTGGAAGTAAGGCGAAGGACACGTGGAGATGAGCAATGGATTTAAGGACAGATGGATAAGTGGATGAGGGGAAAAGATGAAGCATTTGTCAGACATGCAGAAACAAATGGCAGCTTTTATTCTGGAGGCGCTGGGCAAACAGAGTGATGGTTCAGCTCAGGACTCCGCGGACAAGTGTGACAGGCCGAGTGGTAATTTGGCACGAGAGGTCAGGATGCATGGAAGGAGGAGGGGGAGTAGCAGAGATCAGCTTTGGTGGATAAAGATATTACCAGAAGTAAGTTGAAGTTGGAGAAAACCAGCTTGTAATTCATAATTTAAATACTACAAAAAGTTGTTGCTGGTACTAAGGTCACCCTTGAGGGAAGTGTGGAGATGTAGCACAGTGGCTTTTCTGTGGTAAAATAGGTTAAGCTGGCATCGCTGCACTGCTGGCATGACATCAACAACAAACTGTTCTCACACTCCTCTCTAAAAGTGGAGGAGAAGAGGCATCAGTGGACAACGGCATATCTCCTTCCTCATTCACAGCACCTTTTCTCTACCTCGGTTCAAAACTGTATCACTTCATTGCCTTAACACCAGCAGTCCATCATTTTCACTGAAAATGAAAAACTCTCTGGCCAACAGCTTCTGTGATTAAACCGTCAAAGATGTGTCACTCGTGTTTGCACTTTTTCACTCATGTATTTCTACATTTGTCTGTATGCAATAAGAGCAAAACTTTTAACCAAAGAGTGCTCAGAAGCAGAGAGGAGAGCTTTGTGATCCATTATTAATTTTGTGTAATGAGCAAAATATGTGAGATTCAAATAAGCTCCAACAGCTCCTGGCCTGTTGTTCACTCCAATAGTAGATCGATCGATCTATCGATCGATCGATCTATCTATCTATCTATCTATCTATCTATCTATCTATCTATCTATCTATCTATCTATCTATCTATCTATCTATCTATCTATCTATCTATCTATCTATCTATCTATCTATCTATCTATCTATCTATCTATCTATCTATCTATCTATCTATCTATCTATCTATCTATCTATCTATCTATATATCTATCCATCCATCCATCCATCCATCTATCTATCTATCTATCTATCTATCTATCTATCTATCTATCTATCTATCTATCTATCTATCTATCTATCTATCTATCTATCTATCTATCTATCTATCTATCTATCTATCTATCTATCTATCTATCTATCTATCTATCTATCTATCTATCTATCTATCTATCTATCTATCATCTATCTATCTATCTATCTATCTATCTATCTATCTATCTATCTATCTATCTATCTATCTATCTATCTATCTATCTATCTATCTATCTATCTATCTATCTATCTATCTATCATCTATCTATCTATCTATCTATCTATCTATCTATCTATCTATCTATCTATCTATCTATCTATCTATCTATCTATCTATCTATCTATCTATCTATCTATCTATCTATCTATCAATCAATCAATCAATCAATCTATCTATCTATCTATCTATCTATCTATCTATCTATCTATCTATCTATCTATCTATCTATCTATCTATCTATCTATCTATCTATCTATCTATCTATCTATCTATCTATCTATCTATCTATCTATCTATCATCTTCAAGTTATCTCTCCCCCCCCCCTCTCTCTCTCTCTCTCTCTCTCTCTCTCTACCTTTCTCTATCTTTTCATCTCTATCTCTTTATATATCTGTCTCTCAACCACTATATCTCCAGCTAGCTTGCTTGCTAGCTGCATTCTATTTTTTTGTTATGTCCCCTCCTGACCATCCAGGACGATGAAGGGACAAACACAGTGAAAATAGGTGCAACGGTGCAAGTAACGAGGTGATGAGTAAAAAGTACAACGATTTATTAACAAAGGGAGTTCTTCTCTTGAAGGCAAAAATTAGGCAAGATTAGGCAAAAACAGAGAACGGTGCAATAAAGGTGTATAACTGAAAACGTAAGCTAAAAATAGCTTACGAAACGGCTTACGGCCGAATAGTTAAAACCCCTAAAACATAAATCCCCAGCTTACAGGTCCTTTGGGGAGAAACACCAAAAACCAGAGTTTTCAACTCTATTTAACACCTTAACCAGGTCAGGCAGGAACAATGACTGTTCTCTAAATAGCTCCAAGACAAGCACAAAACCACAGTAGCTTCAACTAATACACCGGCTCAGGAGAATCGCAGACTAACTCTGGATCTGCCCGAATGAAAGCTGTCCTCTGCTTTTAGTAAAGTCCTTAGGTCTGCATGATGGTTGATTTGGATCAGCTGCTCTTGCTGCTGGCGTGCCTCTCTCCAGGGTCCTGAATTTCCACAGAGCGAGGGTGAGCCGCTCCAGGACTGTCCCTGGTGCTGAGTGCTCAGTAATGATGAGGCCAGGGCGCAGATAAAAACATGACGGTGAGGACCGAAGGGACGAGGGTCACCACAGCGTCCCCCTAAGAATTTTAAGAAAGAAAGGTATTAAAATCACTTGCTTCCTTAATAAAACAAAAGACCTGGGGCCCATCAATACAGGACCAGGGAGGAAAACAACCAAAAACCATTTACTGTAATTGAAACAGATGAGTTCCCACTAACTGCCTGAACAAACTAGCTAACTAAATCTAGTCTTCATCTGTCTTGCAGGTGGGCAGATTAAGCACATGTTTATAACAACATTTAAACCAGCAAAGGAAAAGAGCGGCCAAGCCAACCCCTTTTCTTCCTGGGTTGCTCCCGAGATGGTGAAACACCATCACTTACCCGTCTGACACAGCACTATAAAAACAATAAGCAGGACATACCCAAAGGGGGGCATACCTCTGAAACCTGGTAATTTTCCTACTACGAGCTAAAACCACGAGACAGGCAATCCGCAACCACATTGTTGACTCCTTTCTTGTGCCGGATGTCAAGGTCATAGTCCTGGAGCATGAGGGCCCATCTCATCAACCTCTGGTTCTTGTTAAACATTCTGGAGAGAAAAACTACAGGGTTATGGTCAGTGTAAACAACCAGTGGCCCGTCACCAGAGCCAACATACACATCAAACTGTTGTAAGGCAAGCAATGGGGCTAAAGTTTCCTTTTCAACCGTGGAATAATGCATTTGATGTGTAGTAAACTTCTTTCAATAGTAGGCAACGGGATGGTCAATCCCCACGTCGTCCTCTTGTAGAAGTACGGCTCCAACTTCTACATCACTTGTATCTGTTTCTAATTTAAAAGACCTAGTCAAGCTAGGGGCCTTTAAAACGGGGTCACTGCTGAGTAAAAGCTTACAGGTGTCAAACGCTTTCTGTGTGGTTTCATCCCAAGTAAATGGTACCTTAGGACTCAAAAGATTGGTTAGTGGAGAAACTACACTGGCAAAGTTTTTACAGAAACACCTGTAGTAGCCGACCATCTCAATGAATCATTTCAATTCCCTATGCGTTTTCGGCCTAGGGAACTCTGTGACAGACTGAATTTTATCCCGCAATATTCAAACCTGCCCATGTCCAACTTCTTTGCCAAAATACGTGACTGTAGCTTTGACGAACTCGCTTTTGGCAAGGTTGATGGAGAGTTGAGCATCAGCTAAACACTGAAAAGGGGCACGTAGATCACCAATGTGGTCCTCCCAGGTTGATGTGTGAACCACAATATCATCAAGGTAAATGGTACAGTGTGATAAACCGGAAGTTACAGAGTTCATCATTTGCTGGAATGTTGCCTGGGCATTCCGCATTCCAAACGGCATCACTGTATGCTGCAGAAACGTGTCTGGAGTAACAAAAGCAGAGATATCAGATGCAGCAGCAGTTAAGTGGACCTGCCAGTAACCTTTCAATAAATTTATTTTTGTTATGAATGAGGCATCTCCTATTCTATCAATACAGTCATCCACTCTGGGCAACGGGTATGCATCAGGTACTGTAACCGAGTTTACTTTTCAGTAAACGGTTATGAATGGAGAAGAGCCATCTGGCTTCTTCTCAATTAATCAAGGCCAGATCCATGGACTGCTGCTTGGCACGGCTAACCCATGTTCTAACGAATACTCTTTACTGTTGTAAAAGATCACATTTAATAGCATTTGCTCTGTAAGGTTGTTGTTTAATGGGTTTGGACTGGTTGACAACAACGCCATGAGTAGCTACAGTGGTCTGAGATGGCACATCTGAAAAGAGACAGGGATACTCTTGTACTAAACCTAACAGTTCGTTTTTAACTTTGGTGTTCAAATGGTCCAGGGTGTCTGGTAGCTGTACTAAAGATAGATAATTTGTTAGCCAGGGGCAATTACCTGGTTTTAGCTTTAGTTGAATGTCCTCCTCAAGGATAGGAGTGAAGGATGCGGCTGCGCACGCCACAGCTTCAGAAACCTTGGTGGTTGATGCCTGAGGGGGATGGTAAAGCTTCAGCATGTTAATATGACAAGCCCGGGACTTAAGGCAATGATGAGGAGTGGAAATACTATAAGTAGTCTTGTTGATTTTTCTTAAAACATCAAAAGGACCGTCAAACTGAGATGAAAGGTTAGTTCCAACAAAAGGACTCAACGTTAGAATTTGATTACCGGGGTGAAGCTCCCCGGCCACTGCTTTACGATTAAAACGTGTTTTCATTTCCTTTTGGGTTTCACTCAAGTGCTCCTGAGCCTGCTGATTTGCTTGCTTGATGCGCCACTGAAATATCTTAATGTATTGATTCACTTTCTCCTTTTTGGATTCTGGGATCCTCAGGAACTGTTCTTTTAGAGCTTTTAGGGGACCCCGTGGGGTGTGACCGAAGCAGGGCTAAACCCCAAAGATTCTTGGGGGCCCTCTCTGGCTGCAAATAGTAAAAAGGGAATGCCCTCATCCCACTGATGACCTGAACTTAAACAGTATTTCTTTAACATGCTTTTGAAGGTTTGGTGCCAGCGTTCTAATGCACCTTTGCAATCCGGATGGTAAGCGGCAGACATTATGTGATGGACACCCAGCATTTGTGACACTTTCTTAAACAGCTCCGACTTCCAAACAAGCTTTTTCCGGCTCTTGGAGGGTGCAGACACTTTTTTCCTCCCCTCCTCCATATCTTATCCTCAAGGCCCTTTACCTGTCTGTGTGTGCTGGGTGCACGGCTGCTTCTGCATTTTTTCTGGAAACTGGAAACTGAAATTCACTCAAATGGATCTCGTCAGTTGGTCTGTCAACGCGATTGATAACATTTTTTCAACAATGAGAATGGGAGAAGGGGCTCCCCGATGCACCTCTGCGACAGACCCAGTTGGACACATCATGGACTCCTGGAAACGGTGGAATTTGATTTGTTTATCTCAGCTGTCTGTGGAGGTCTCTGAAGACATGTGGATATTTGTGGTGTTGGTCAGGTTTCCTGCTCATTGGCCTTGGAGGCTACCTGGCTTACTGGAAAATTAACAAGCTGTCGAGGAATATTGACCTGATCCCGGAGCTCAGAGATGGTTTGCACTGCGCTGTGAATTCACAGACTCACATAATTGTCAAGATGAACCGTAAGCTTGGAACTTTGGCCGAGATTCATTATTGGCACAAAAGATGGATGCCATCAAGGACAGAGTTGATGAATCAGCATGGATTGGGATAGATTAATGTCCATTATTGGGATTTTGAGAGGTTGAGGACCAACAAACTGTAAGACAGAGAGGAAATTATCTCTGTCTGGCCACAAAACTATTTGTAATCGGAATCTGGCGCCCTTAAGCCTGCAAGGCTCCAACGAAAACTCCCCCCTCAGAAGATATGTGGAATGTGCCGTCGCTATGGCAACTCAACTCTGTCTCCTATCCCAGCCTGGGCAGGACTGCGGAAAGGTCGCTGAAACGTTCCAGGGTCACTGCAACCCTCCAACCCTCAATGCTCCTCCCCCTATCCACACTGAGGTGACATGCACTGCTTATCGTGGCTGCAGGAACTGAAGTGGGGATAGTCCCAAACCCACCACCCGACCTAGTGGACACTTATGTTGTGTTGTCTGAAGTCTGTTGCATATCTGTCTGAGGTGGGGTTTTTTGCAGAGCAAAGCTGCACTCTCGGTGGAGGGTAGCTCTGAAGTACCTTTTTTCCCCTCCACCTGAACCAACCCTCATGTAACCCTCTTATCTCTATGAAGGTAGCGCTACTCAGGGTTGCGAATGACCACAGTCACCAATTCTTGTCATGTGTCTTGCCCATGTATGTCTGATCTCTGAATTGTGTGTACTGAAACTCTAATTTCCCTCTGGGATTAATAAAGTATATTTGATTGATTGGTTGATTGATGATTGATTGATTGATTGATTGATTGATTGATTGATTGATTGATTGACTTGAAGTTGGATCCTTGGTCTGTTTGTAGAACTCGTGGCAAACCGAACAATGAAAAATAGTGGGTTAAAGCGCGGGTGACTGCATTTGCTGTTATTGAAGATAGTGGAATGGCTTCTGGAAAATGGGTAGAGGTGCACATAATGGTTAATTGATACCTCTTACCAGATTTACTTCTGGGCAATGGGCCTACACAATCTACCACAACAGTATCAAAATGATTCCCGACTACAGGAATTAGATGAAGAGGTGCTGGGGCTGGCAGCTGATTTGGTTTCCCGGAAATCTGACAGATATGGCAACACTTACAATATTCAGCAATATCCCGCTTCATCCCGGGCCAGAAGAAATGTTCTAAGATGTTTTTGTAAGTTTTTCTAATGCCTAAATGTCCTGCCCACTGACTTTCATGAGCTAAACCCATAACTTTATTTCAGTACCTAAAATGACTCACTATTTGATTTACAGTACCCCAAGGTGCTCCTTTGGCAGCAGGATTGTTCCAAAACCGCATTAACACATCATCATGCAGAAAATAACCGGGTGACTTACGACTTGTAACGGAGGGACTACATTTCGTCCAGCCACATCATTCCCAAGCAGAAGAGTAACTCCAGCAACAGGCAAAGACGGACATACAGCCACATCAAAATAACCTTGAGCTAAATCACATGACAAGTATATTCTGTGTAAAGGCGGGACAACCGGTTCAGCAGTTATTACCATTATTATTCAAAACCCAGGAAGTAGCTGTCCACCTCAGCCTCCCGAAACGGTGGCACAAGCACAATGCATTTACTGATGTCCAGCTTTTGTCGCTCTCCAGGGGTAGTTTCCTCCTCCGACCTTTTCTCCTTGTGTGGCTCCATAGTCTGCACAGTTCCTTTAGAGACCTCCTGTTGTCTCCAAGCCTGGCTCTCCAGTTCAAGTCGCCTTAGCTTAATCTTGGTGTCCGCCTCCAGATCCATTCGGTGGATCTCCAGCTCCATTTCTATCTGTTGGCGCTCTTCCTTCTCCTCTGCCTCGTACTTCAACCAAGCCAAATGGACTTGTAGTCTCAGGCGCTCCGGCGAACTCGGAGTAGGTGCTGGTGAAACAGGATCATATTTAGGCAAAGTCAATGGTGAAAGAGGAGTCTTACTTTCAGCTGGCAGTGTCTGGAAACTGTGAGCCATTTCCTCTGGACACATTGTGGATGGTCAGGCTCCGTCATCATCTCCTGAGTAGCCATCAGCACGCGGGTTACGGACGGGATAGTCCCCAGTCTCCTTATCGAGCACCATATTCTTACTTTTTAAAGTGAACATTACAATTTCTTTTCATTCCTTCTTTGCCATTCTGCTGCTACCACGGAGATCAAGGTGCGCAGCCACCTCCACCAGATCGCACTTGTGGTAGGCCTCAAGTGCTTCCCGTGATGGCGCAAGCAGAAACTCCTTCAGCGAAATCATGGTCTGAGTTAAATGGGCTCACCTGGGTAGAGCCTGAAACACAAACAAGGAGATCACTCAAAAGAAAACTCTCCAGGGCACTCACCACACTCTCTGAACTATAAGAAACACCACTCTTAACATATACAAACCTATTTATTCGCCAGGCATAATAATATCTAACACAAATATTAACTACATAATGCAAAAATCCCGGACGAGCCCCCTTTATGTCCCCATCAGGTCCCCTCCTGGCCGTCCAGGAGGATGAGGGGACAAACACAGTGAAAATAGGTGCAATGGTGCAAATAACGAGGTGATGAGTAAAAGGTAAAATTATTTATTAACAAAGGCAGTCCTTCTCTTGAAGGCAAAAATGAGGAAAAATTAGGCAAAACAGAGAACGGTGCAATAAAGGTGTATAACTGAAAACGTAAGCTAAAAATAGCTTACGAAACGGCTTACGGTCGAATAGTTAAACACCTAAAACATAAATCCCCAGCTTACAATTCCTCTGGGGAGAAACACCAAAAACCAGAGCTTTCAACTCTGTTTAACACCTTAACCAGGTCAGGCAGGAACAATGACTATTCTCTAAATAGCTCCAAGACGAGCACAGAACCACAGTTTAACCATTGCAGGAGAATCACAGACTAATTCTGGATCTCCCTGAATGAAAGCTGTCCTCTGCTTTTAAAGTCCTCAGGTCTGCATGATGGCTGATTTGGTTCAGCTGCCTTTGTTGCTGGTGTGCCTCTCTCCAGGGTCCTGAATTTCCACAGAGCGAGGGTGAGCCACTCCAGGACTGTCCCTGGTGCTGAGTGTTCAGTAGTGATGAGGCCAGGGCACAGATAAAAACATGACAATGAGGACTGAAGGGACGAGGGTCGTCACATTCTTGTGTAAAATGGCAAACAGTTTTGTAATTTACTGTAACATATACTGTGACACATCTATGGCAGACCATTTGTGTGGTTATAGCGATTCACCTAGCTGAGAAATTAGGTGTGACTTCTTCGTACTTAACTTGTTTTGTATTTTTACCTAGGCAGATCTCATCCATCCATCCATCCATCCATCCATCCATCCATCCATCCATCCATCCATCCATCCATCCATCCATCCATCCATCCATCCATCCATCCATCCATCCATCCATCCATCCTGGTGCCAGCTTGTCAAGACAGACACTCAGAGGTAATCATTAGTCTTTTTCAGATCCACTGACAACATGAGGGATAAATAAATAAGGTCAGAGAGCTGGGGCAAGCAAACCAGATGATATTTGGGTTTGTGGAGGTGTTAAAAATGAATCCATGTATTGGGAGCACAACGTGTAGTTTTAAATTCCGAATGAAGGCCTGAACTGTAATTTTAGCAGATTTTTCATTAGCACAGATGCACCTTTAGGTTTTATTCAAGAACAAACTGGTTGTGAAAAAGTCCCAAAATTCCAAAATAGCAGGAAGGCCGAGTGTTTCAGGCTGTTATGTGGAGCTTTACTATGGCTCTACATGATTGCTTTATTTCTGACCTATCTTCCTTTACTGATCCGACCATTTACCCTGATTTTGTTCCGGAGAGAAGGTTTACGTAGAAGCTGGCTTGCCGCCAGAAATAGGTTTCCAGTGGGAGCATACACCTGTAGTCTCTCTGGCAGAGTATGGATGCTGCAAGAGATAGAGATAAACAAAGCAACACAGAAGGCCTTTGAGAGAGATATGAACTTTTGCGGTATTATTTCCTCTTAAGTTGTGTTTGACAGTGATGAAATTACTTTTGTGAATAAAGAACTTTCAGAAGATTTGTGACAGGTATACAAGATGTGTCTTTCCTCCTCTTCTCTTTGCAACAAGTCCATCCAAAAAAAAATGGGGCTTTGAAGCTGCATCTTTTAAAGGTAACTCTCAATTTGTAAAATCAAAGACACAAAGAATCTGATGCTTGGCAGTCGTTTTGCAGCTGCCAGTCATCTCTGATTGTAGATTTGCAAAGATCAATTGATCTGCCTCAAAGGCTTGAATCTCTTTCACCTCAGGGAAGAGGACAGCTAGGACGCTAATAATCAGAACACATTGCTTCAGTTCAACATCTTGCACTGACCTTGCGCTTTACTGTTACAGTTTGAGACACACAGTGGAGTCAAGTGAAAATGTTTTTATTACTTGGTTTCTTGTAATCCTATTTGTTTTTGTAAATGGTTGTTCCACTTCATGATGAAGAGGAGATGCAGTTTTCTGACTTTGAACCAGGCGAGGGCTTAGTGAAAGTTTTATTGATTTGTGTAAATCCCTTGGCTGGGGCCGACTTGGAGCGAAGGAGGAACGGTGAGCTGTTAGAGACGGCACTTGGCAGGTAAACTCTTGCTGACCTCCCCAAAGTAACATAGCAGGGGGCAGTAAGTGTGAACCTCCACATTATTTACAGCCCCGAGAAACTCCCTCCATTAACAGTGTCAATTAGCCTGCTCATCCAGGATCTCAGGCTGTAGATGTCTTTATAGATCAGGCCATTGCTTTAATGGTACAAGGTGGATGATGCCAAAGGGACAGGCATAGTGTTGGGAATCTTTGTTTTAAACATGTTCAAAGTTCAGTGCATACATTTTAAAAGGAACTAGTTCAATACGTAGTTCAATATTCACAGTTCATTGTTCTGTTTTTCAATATGTTGTGGTAAGCTATTACCCTCAGAAAATGGGGATTTTCCCATTTATGTCACCTGTTCCCTTTAGACACGGTTTGCAGCTTTTACCTCTACTGTATAATCTCAATAACATGAGGACAAACTTACTGTTTGCATTTTAAATGAGAATGGTGTGATCAGTAATAAATACATTTGCAGTGGTCTCCAGTAGGAATGAATGTCTTGTAAATCATTCTCAGGGAAAACAAAGCTCTGGTGCACAAGTTTCAGTAACTAGAAGTGAGCCACATCAAAGCTGAGCTTTGGACAGCAGGATTTGAAGTCTTATTTCCTGATATTTGACATCTTGCCGATTGGCTAACAGAAACATAACTCTACCACTGACTCTGTTTGCTCTGCAATGTTGATGTTTTATTTCCACTAATAACACACGCCTATTATTATTCTGAGCTGAGTTTTATAATTTATGATGATAATTATAGGAATAATAATCCAGGTAATAGTATAAGGTACAGACGCATACGAACAGTTAATACAACTAATGCCTTCAAGAACGAATTGATAAGACGGACATGGGAGGAAGTGTACCAGCAAACTGATGTTGACAAGGCTTATGAGACCTTTGTAAGAATATTTATTTCATTATATGATAAGAATTGTCCCTTAACAAAATGTAGTAGCTCAAACACAAGGGATAATCAACCGTGGATGACGAAGGGGATAAAGTGTGCCTGCAAAAAGAAAAATAATTTGTACAGGTTGTTTATAAATAAAAAAACTCCAGAAGCTGAACATAAATATAAAATATATAAGAATAAGCTTACCAATATAATAAGAAAATGTAAAAAGGAGTATTATTATAAAAGTTTGAATAATGCTAAACATGATATTAGAGAACTGTGGAAAATATTATTTAATGTAGTTCGACCAAATTTAGGTATTGATAAATTTCCGAAATATTTTGTTGAAAACAGTATTGTAAAACATGATTATGGTGATGTGGCTGATAGCTTTAATAAATTCTTTGTAAATATAGGGCCGTCATTGGCAGAAAACATATCTAGCTCTTCAACTCGCATATACCATTCTTAAAACAAATCAAACCTAATCCTCATTACATGTTTCTTTCCGCTGTAGAGGAACAAGAAATAATACAAATTGTAAAAACATGTAAAGGTAAAACATCAACTGACAGTCATGGCATTGACATGATGACGGTAAAAAAGGTGATAGAAGGAATTTCAAAACCACTTGCATATATTTGCAATTTGTCTTTTCAATCAGGTGTATTCCCAAAATTTATGAAAGTTGCAAAAGTTATACCAATATATAAAACTGGGGATAAGCATCAATTTACGAACTATAGGCCAATTTCATTGCTTCCACAATTTTCCAAGATTCTTGAAAAATTGTTTAATAATCGACTCGAAATATTTTTGGATAAATACAAGATAATTTCAGACTGTCAGTATGGATTTAGACCGAATAGTTCAACATCACTAGCTCTGGTGCATTCTGTGGAAGAAATTGCAACGTCAATTGATCAGAAGAAACATGTTCTAGGGATATTTATTGATTTAAAAAAGGCTTTTGATACAGTTAATCATAAAATGTTACTTGAAAAGGTAGAGAGGTATGGGATTAGGGGTGTAGTGTTGAGCTGGTTGACAAGCTATCTACAACAGAGGAGACAGTTTGTGAAATTTGGAGAATGTTCATCTACATGGTTGGACATTGTTTGTGGAGTACCACAGGGGTCTGTGTTGGGTCCAAAATTATTTTTATTATATATTAATGATTTGAGTAATGTAACAAATACACTGACATTTGTTTTGTTTGCCGATGATACCACTATTTTCTGTGCAGGAGATAATATTAGCGAGTTAGAAAGGATGGTCCAAATTGAAATGTGCGTCATTAAAGAGTGGTTTATTGAAAATAAGCTTACCTTAAATATAGCAAAAACAAAATGTATGTTGTTTGGTATGGCTAATAAAACTGAGGTTAAGCTGCAAATAGATGGATGTGAAATTGAGCAAGTAACAGAACATAAGTTCCTTGGAATAGTAATTGATAATAAATTAAGTTGGAAACCACAAATTAAACATGTATATAATAAGGTTGCGAGAAGCATCTACATTATGAATAAAGCTCGGCAGTACTTGGATTATAAATAACTCCATGTCCTTTATTATTCATTGATTTATCCCTATCTTATTTACTGTATAGAGGTATGGGGTAACACTTATAAAACATCTATTGTACCCTTGTCTATCATACAGAAAAGAGCCCTGAGAGTCGTTCACAATGTTAGATTTAGAGACCACACTAATCCGTTATTTATATATTCTAAAATACTAAAATTTAAAGATTTAATTCAGCTATATACAGCAACATTCATGTTTAAA